GAATTCTCTGTAGAGCTCCAAGATAGCCTTGTGTCTAGGCACAGATCTGGGGAAGGATATCCAAAAATGTCAGCAGCATTGAAGGTCCCCAAGAACACAGTGGCCTCCATCATTCTTAAATGAAAGAAGTTTGGAACCACCAAGACTCTTCCTAGAGCTGGCCGCCCGGCCAAACTGAGCAATCGGGGGAGAAGGGCCTTGGTTGGGGGAGAAGGGCCTTGGTCGGGGAGGTGACCAAGAACCCGATGGTCACTCTGACAGAGCTCCAGAGTTCCTCTGTGGAGATGGGAGAACCTTCCAGAAGGACAACCATCTCTGCAGAACTCCACCAATCAGGCCTTTATGGTAGAGTGGCCAGACGGAAGCCACTCATCAGTAAAAAGGCACATGACAGCCCACTTGGAGTTTGCCAAGGCACCTAAAGACTCTCAGACCATGAGAAACAAGATTCTCTTGTCTGATGAAATCAAGAATGAACTCTTTGGCCTGAATGCCAAGCGTCACGTCTGGAGGAAACCTGGCACCATCCCTACGGTGAAGCATGATGGTGGCAGCATCAAGCTGTGGGGATATTTTTCAGCGGCAGGGACTGGGAGACTAGTCAGGATCGAGGCAAAGATGAACAGAGAAGTACAGAGAAATCCTTGATGAAAACCTGCTCCAGAGTGCTCAGGTCCTCAGACTGGGGTGATAGTTCACCTTCCAACAGGACAACGACCCTAAGCACACAGCCAAAACAACGCAGGAGTGGCTTCAGGACAAGTCTCTGAATGTCCTTGAGTGGCCCAGCCTGAGCCCGGACTTGAACCCGATCGAACATCCCTGGAGAGACCTGAAAATAGCTGTGCAGCAACGCTCCCCATCCAACCTGACAGAGCTTGAGAGGATCTGCAGAGAAGAATGGGAGAAACTCCCCAAATACATGTGTGCCAAGCTTGTAGCGTCATACCCAGAAATAATTGATGCTGTAATCTCTGCCAAAGGTGCTTCAACAAAGTACTGAGTAAAGGGTCTGAATACTTATGTAATTGTAATATTTCCGTTTTTATTAGCAACAATTTACAAAAACCTGTTTTTGCTTTGTCATTATGGGGTATTGTGTGTAGATTGATGAGGGAAAAAAGCAATTTAATCAATTTTAGAATTAGGCTTTAACCTAACAAAATGTGGAAAAAGTCAAGGGGTCTGAATACTTTCCGAAGGCACTGTATATGTTGTTGCACTTCAGGCAGGCTTAAGCTCCATAGGGGGAGTAGCAGAGAGGAGCAGGTAGCTGACTAGTTGTGGCTATTCAGCAGCCTGATGGTTTGAGGGTAAAAACTATTGGCCAGTCTTCCAGTTTTTGCCATGATGCTCCTGTACTGCCCGCGTCTGATTGAAGCGAAGAGAACAGGGCATGGCTTGGGTGGCTGGAGTCCCTGATGATTTCCTTGGCCTTCCTGCAACACCTGGTGTTGTAGGTGTCCTGTAGGGCAGGCAGTGTGCACCCAATGGTGCGTTCGGTTGCATGTATCACCCTCTGAAGCGCTTTCCAGTCCGCAGCGGTGGAGTTGCCGTACCAGGCTGTGATGCAGCCCGACAGTATGCTCTCGATGGTGCTCCTGTAGAACACCGTGAGGGCCCTCGGGGATAGGCCAAATTTCTTTAGCATCCTGAGGTTGAAGAGTCAGTGTCGTGCCTTCTTCACCACGGTGTCCGTGTGGTTAGAACATTTCAGCTTCTTCTCTACGCCGAAGAATTTGAAGTTATTGACCGTCTCCACGGTGGCACCATTGATGAGGATGGGGGCGTGTCCACCCTGTTTCCTCCTGAAGTCCACAATCAGCTCCTTTGTTTTGCTAACGTTGAGGGAGAGGTTGTTTACCTGGCAGCACACCGTCAGAGTGCCCCATCTCCTCCCTGTAGTCTGTCTCGTCGTTGTTGTTATTCAGGCCTACTACTGATGTGTTGTCAGCGAACTTGATGATCGAGTTAGAATTGTGTGAGGCCACACAGTCGTGGGTATACAGGGAATACAGGAGGGGACTGAGGACGCAACGTTGTGGGGCCCCCGTGTTGAGAATCAGTGTCGAGGTGGTAATGTTACCTACCTTCACCACCTGGGGGCGGTCCATCAGGAAGTCCAGGACCCAGTTGCATAGGGCGGAGTTCAGACCCAGGGCTGTGAGCTTTGTTATGAGCTTATAGGGCACTAAGGTATTGAAGGCCGAGCTGTAGTTGATGAACAGCATCCTCACATATGCATTCCATTCTGTAGCTCAGCTGGTAGAGCACGGCGCTTGTAACGCCAAGATAGTGGGTTCGATCCCCGGGACCACCCATACACAAAAATGTATGCACGCATGACTGTAAGTCGCTTTGGATAAAAGCGTCTGCTAAATGGCATATTATTATATTATTATTATTATTTTGTCCAGATGGGTAAGGGCAGTGTGCAGTGCAATGGATCTGTCAGGGCGGTAGGCGAATTGGAGAGGGTTGAGTGTGTCAGGGAGGAAGGAGGTGACATCGTCTTTGAATAGCCTCTCAAAGCACTTCATATTGATGGATTGTATTTAAGTCTGTATTTGCTGTAGTGGGGACATTACATTTACATTTCAGTCATTTAGCAGACGCTCTTATCCAGAGCGACTTACAGTTAGTGAATGCATACATAATTTTTTTTCATACCCCCTGTGGGAATCGAACCCACAACCCTGGCGTTGCAAACGCCATGCTCTATCAACTGAGCTACATCCCTGCCGGCCATTCCCTCCCCTACCCTGGACGACGCTGGGCCAATTGCGCGCCGCCCCATGGGTCTCCCGGTCACGGCCGGCTACGACAGAGCCTGGATTACCATCAGTACTCTCAAAATATTATACTTTAAAGCTGCAATATGTAACCTTTTGGGCGACCCGACCAAATCCACATAGAAATGTGTGTCATTCTCATTGAAAGCCAGTCCAAGAAGCGGTAGATCTGTTCTATGTGCGCTATTCCTATCCTTCTCGTTATTAAGTTTAGTTTTTGCATCTTTTACTTTTGGTTTTGTACACCAGCTTCAAACACAATATTTTTGGTTATGGAAAAGATATTTCACAGCAGTTTAGATTGTACAATGATTCTCTACACTATACTTGCTTGTTTTGTCACATAAACTGAAATTAGGCTAACTATTAGTGTCACGACTTCCTCCGAAGCTGCATCCTCTCCTAGTTCGGGCAGGCTTCAGCGTTCGTCGTCACCGGACTTCTCATCTCATCATTCCATTTGTTTTGTCTTGTTTATTACACACACCTGGTTTATATCCCCTCATTAGTACTTGTATAAGTGTTCCCTCTGGCCCCTTGTCCTTGTGTGTGATTGTTTATTGTGAGGAGAGTGTAGCTCGGATGAGCTCCGTGTATTATGTATTGCGGGGGTATTTTTTCCCTGTGTGCCTGTTTGGTTCTAGTGCGCCTGTTTTGCGCACTGGACTGTTTGACGCATTTCTGCATAACTCTGTATTCTGGAATAAATTCTGTATTCTGTGATTTACCCTGCTGCACCTGACTCCTTCTAATCACCCATCACAATTAGAATTTTAGCAACCATGTCACGTTCGTTGAATGACGGGTCAGACCAAGGCGCAGCGTGATATGCGTACATGTTTATTGAACTAAATAAACACACGACAAAACAACAAAGGAAAGGAAACGTGAAGTCCTAAGGTAGGACACACAACTAACCTTACCAGGAACAAGATCCCACAACTAGACTGTGCCAATAGGCTGCCTAAGACAACGAGCGACAGCTGCCTCTGATTGGGAACCACACCGGCCAACATAGAACTAGACATACTAGATCCCACACATAGAAAAAGCACAACAAGGAATATACACACCCTGACTCAACATATAAGAGTCCCCTGAGTCAGGGTGTGACAAACCAGGAAATGGCAGAGCGATTTCTGCATAGTGCGTCTTTAAGGAAAATGTTTTAATATATTTTACATTTTTATGTTCAGTTCGAATAATATAATTTTAAAATATGCATAAAGGTGTCTGTAATAGAATATACTTGGCAAAAACGAATGTAGACATTAATAAATGCATTTCTATAGCTTCAAAAATATTTTTTACAAGATTATTATTTCATTTATTTTTACAAAAACGGCGACGCAGTGGCTTCAAAACAGCGCCCCCTGTCAAATAAAATAAAATGGTATTGGTTGCGTACACATATTATGCAGACGTTATCGCAGGTGCAGCGAAATGCTTATGTTTCTAGCTCCAACATGCAGTTATACCTAACAATACAAAACAATAAACACAAATCCACAAAATAAAAAGAAAGGAATGAAGAAATATCAGAATGAACAAAGTTAGAGTCCGGAATATAAATATATATTTATATGATGGTGTGTATAGACATTATGGACAGTCCCGTGTAGCTCAGTTGGTAGAGCATGGCGCTTGCAACGCCAGGGTTGTGGGTTCGATTCCCACGGGGGACCAGTGTGAAAATGTATGCACTCACTAACTGTAAATTGCTCTGGATAAGAGTGTCTGCTAAATGACTAAAATGAATATGAATAGAAAATGTGTGTAAAGCAGTAGTTATATAGGATGAGCATAGACTAGAATACAGTACGTATGAAGTGGGTAAAACAGTATGTAAACATTATTAAAGTGACCAGTGTTCAATGACTATGTGCATAGGGCAGTGTTGAGTACAGGGTGGTAGCTGGCTAGTAACAGTGTTTAATTTCAGGGCAGAGTACTGGGTGGAGGCCGGCTAGTGGTGACTGTTTAACTGGCTGCATCTGTACTTACATTATTCAGCAAAATAATGATTTCATACCGGTTCAGGGTACAAGTAAAACATGTTTGGACAGCTTGTGTGTGTGTGATCTGTAATAAGGGCATCAGTCATCTAGTTTTCAACACAAGTTAGTACATTTTTATATATCGTTTTTACCACCAGTGAGTATCTACAATGGCTAGCTGGCAGCACTGGGACGTCCCTTCTCCTTGGGAATGCTGTTTGACTGTCGCAATGATGCCCTTATTACAGGTAACACACACACAAACTGTCCAACCTGTCTTAACATTTTTTATTTGTACCCTGTATCGGTATGAAATCATTATTTTGCTGAGGAATGTAAGTACTGATGTAGCCAGCTATTTTGACCTCTAGGCCACATGATCTTAGCTACAACTCCCGAAACCTCCCAAATACAATAACAATTACATTCCTGTGGATTTACTGTAAATGTTTGATTTGTCTCATCTCATCACAGGGTTGGTATTGTGGGACAAGGAGCCACTGAAGAACAACGTCATTATAACAGACAAGCCTTTCACCAACTTCAAAGTCATCACATCTGACTCTACTGCTGATAAATTATCTATTTTAAATGCTAATGCTTCTCTCAAATCAAGCTTTTTGGCAAGGCTGTTTGAGGTCGCGGGATCAACTAGATACACACTTTTGTACACCATTACGAAGAAAAACATGTAACTGGCCATGAACTACCTTGGGCAGGAAAACTTAAAAGAACAAGGATGTGTGGGGCACCCTTATGGAAAAAACACATTCATTTCACATGTGAAGTGTTCCAAAAACATGTTTTCATGTGATCACATGTGATCTTACGTGAAGTTAATGTCTAAACATGTGACAACATGTAAAGCAACATATGATAACATGAAACAACACGTGAAAACATGTGAAGTGTTCCAAAAACAGAGATTTTTTTGAGCTGAACAGTTATCTTGCAGTGTCCATGGGGATTTCCTCCTTGAAAACAGCTCTGTATCTTTTCAACAAGCCATACACATCTAGAAAACCCTGCCTCAAAACTGGGAGAGGGGGGGTCGCTTTGCAAGTGAATCTGCTTCCATTACAGGTGTTGGACTCCACTGCCACCAAGTTGGTTCGTCAGATCAGTGTAAGTTTAGAAGGGCAATCGCAGAAGATGCTGGAAGACCTCAGTGAGCTGGAGATAAGATGTAACGATGCAATGAAAAGCGAGCCAGTAAAATACTTCAAGGAGACTGGTGCAAAAGAGAGAAAACGTTCAGATAACTTCAAGTAATCATTGGCAGATCTCCTTCCGTCTGTTAGAGGGAGGGACAAAGAATAGCGTGTGTTGGCTGACATCTTGAAATGTCTGCAAGAGTCTCCCTTCAACACCAGCATCCTCAATGAATGTATGGATTCCATTGAGGAAAATATCAATGTGATTGATCAGTTTTTAAGAATGATTACAGATGACTACAGTCAAAGGTTCACTAAGATAGTGACATCTAAGAGTGAACTTGACATAGAGGTCTTTAACTCAAAGGTGAAGCATGTGCTGTTTCACTTTCCCCTCTGGGGTGCAAGGGCCCTGTCCTGTCAGCTTTGTCAAACTATGTGAGTGATTTTCCAAACTTTGACAGCATACATGCCTCAGTGATTGATCAGAGAAGGCAACAATGGTACTTCTCAGAGGATACCTTAGAAGACAAAAAATTATTTTCAAATATTTTGCAGAGGTTAACAAAGAAGACACAAGCTTTGAAAGCACACAGGCCATTCAGCTGGATCTCAAAAAGGGTGTTGACATAGACAATCACACAAGACCTATCAAAGGTGATGTGCACATATGTTTCCTTTTGGCCCTCAATTCCCAATAAGGAAGAAGAAGGAGCCACAGACACTGGTCTACAGACAATACCACATAATGTCAAAGTAGAATTATGCTTTTTGGACATTCTTACAAAAAATTAAAAGCTGAAAAGTATTCAACCTTATTGACTCAAGTCTAAATAAATTCAGCAGTAAAAATGTGCTTATCAAGTCACATAATAAGTTGCATGGACTCACTCTGTGTGTAATAACAGTCATAATAATAATAATAATAATCTATGTACCCCACACATACAATTATCTGTAAGGTCCCTCAGCCAAGCAGTGAATTCCAAACACAGATTCAACCACAAAGACATGGGAGATTTTCCAAGTTACAGTTTTGACTTAAATCTGCTAGAAAACCTATGGCAAGACTTGAAAATGGTTGTCTAGCAATGATCAACAACCAATTTGACAGAGTTTGAAGAATGTTGAGAAGATATTGTACAATCCAGGTGTGCAAAGCTCTTAGAGACTTACCCAGAAAGAGTCACAGCTGTAATCACTGTCAAAGTTGATTCTAACATGTATTGGCTCAGGGGTGTGAATACTTATGTAAATGAGATATTTCTGTATTTCATTTTCAATAAATGTGCAAACATTTCTAAAAACATGTTTTCACTTTGTCATTATGGGGTATTGTGTGTAGATGGGTGAGATTTGTATTTAATCCATTTGGAATTCAGTCTGTAACACAACATAATGTGGAATAAGTCAAGGGATATGAATATTTTCTGAAGGCACTATATGTGATAGAATACAAAGAGATGTCAGCCGATGAGAGTGGGGAGGAGGCAGAGTGGATGAAGGCCCGTGTAGCTCAGTTGGTAGAGCATGGCATTTGCAACGATAGGGTTGTGGGTTCGTTTCCCACGGGGGGCCAGTATAAAAATGTATGCACTCACTAACTGTAAGTCGCTCTGGATAAGAGCGTCTGCTAAATGACTAAAATGTCAAATGTAAGGCGACTTTCAAAGACAACGTCCTCATCGTTGCTGGACTGAAGCCGCTCACAAAGTACAAAGTGAGAGCCAGTTGTGATTGTGGTGCAGCTGAAATCAGTAAAGGGAGCACACAGGCCATTGTTGCCACTCTACCAAAGACCCAAGGATTGGCTGAAGTCGTAAGACAAAAGAGTGAACTGAAGAGCTCTGGCTCAATGCCTGTGTATGAGGTTCCCATGGAAAAGGTAGAACATGTAAAACAAGAACTTTACATTTACATTTACATTTACGTCATTTAGCAGACGCTCTTATCCAGAGCGACTTACAAATAGGTGCATTCACCTTGTAGCCAGTGGGATAACCACTTTACAATGTTTTTTTTCGTTTTTTTATGTTTTCTTTTTTATTTAATTTTGGAGTAAAGGAGGAGTAAAGGGGGGGGGGGGGGGGGGGGAGAAGGATTACTTTATCCTATCCCAGGTATTCCTTAAAGAGGTGGGGTTTCAAATGTCTCCGGAAGGTGGTGAGTGACTCCGTTGTCCTGGCGTAGTGAGGGAGCTTGTTCCACCATTGGGGTGCCAGAGCAGCGAACAGTTTTGACTGGGCTGAGCGGGAACTATGCTTCCGCAGAGGTAGGGGAGCCAGCAGGCCAGAGGTGGATGAACGCAGTGCCCTCGTTTGGGTGTAGGGACTGATCAGAGCCTGAAGGTACGGAGGTGCCGTTCCCCTCACAGCTCCGTAGGCAAGCACCATGGTCTTGTAGCAGATGCGAGCTTCAACTGGAAGCCAGTGGAGTGTGCGGAGGAGCGGGGTGACGTGAGAGAACTTGGGAAGGTTGAACACCAGACGGGCTGCGGCATTCTGGATGAGTTGTAGGGGTTTAATGGCACAGGCAGGGAGCCCAGCCAACAGCGAGTTGCAGTAATCCAGACGGGAGATGACAAGTGCCTGGATTAGGACCTGTGCCGCTTCCTGTGTAAGGCAGGGTCGTACTCTCCGAATGTTGTAGAGCATGAACCTACAGGATCGGGTCACCGCCTTGATGTTAGCGGAGAACGACAGGGTGTTGTCCAGGGTCACGCCAAGGCTCTTCGCACTCTGGGAGGAGGACACAACGGAGTTGTCAACCGTGATGGCGAGATCATGGAACGGGCAGTCCTTCCCCGGGAGGAAGAGCAGCTCCGTCTTGCCGAGGTTCAGCTTGAGGTGGTGATCCGTCATCCATACTGATATGTCTGCCAGACATGCAGAGATGCGATTCGCCACCTGGTTATCAGAAGGGGGAAAGGAGAAGATTAGTTGTGTGTCGTCAGCGTAGCAATGATAGGAGAGGCCATGTGAGGATATGACAGTGCCAAGTGACTTGGTGTATAGCGAGAATAGGAGAGGGCCTAGAACTGAGCCCTGGGGGACACCAGTGGTGAGAGCACGTGGTGCGGAGACAGCTTCTCGCCACGCCACTTGGTAGGAGGAGAATGTGGCAAAGAGCTTCCTAGGGTTAGAGGCGGATGCTTGGAATTTAGAGTGGTAGAAAGTGGCCTTAGCAGCAGAAACAGATGAAGAAAATGTAGAGAGGAGGGAGTGAAAAGATGCCAGGTCCGCAGGGAGTCTAGTTTTCTTCCATTTCCGCTCAGCTGCCCGGAGCTCTGTTCTGTGAGCTCGCAATGAGTCATCAAGCCACGGAGCTGGAGGGGAGGACCGAGCCGGCCGGGAGGATAGGGGACATAGAGAATCAAAGGATGCAGAAAGGGAGGAGAGGAGGGTTGAGGAGGCAGAATCAGGAGATTGGAGGGAGAAGGATTGAGCAGAGGGAAGAGATGATAGGATGGAAGAGGAGAGAGTAGCGGGAGAGAGAGAGCGAAGGTTGCGACGGCGCATTACCATCTGTGTAGGGGCAGAGTGAGTAGTGTTGGAGGAGAGGGAGAGAGAAAAGGATACAAAGTAGTGGTCGGAGACTTGGAGGGGAGTTGCAGTGAGATTAGTAGAAGAACAGCATCTAGTGAAGATGAGGTCAAGCGTATTGCCTGCCTTGTGAGTAGGGGGGGACGGTGAGAGGGTGAGGTCAAAGGAGGAGAGGAGTGGAAAGAGGGAGGCAGAGAGAAATGAGTCAAATGTAGACGTAGGGAGGTTGAAATCCCCCAGAACTGTGAGGGGTGAGCCATCCTCAGGAAAGGAACTTATCAAGGCGTCAAGCTCATTGATGAACTCTCCAAGGGAACCTGGAGGGCGATAGATGACAAGGATATTAAGCTTAAATGGGCTAGTGACTGTGACAGCATGGAATTCAAATGAGGAGATAGACAGATGGGTCAGGGGAAAAATTGAGAATGTCCACTTGGGAGAGATGAGGATTCCTGTGCCATCACCCCGCTGACCAGATGCTCTCGGGGTATGCGAGAACACATGGTCAGACGAGGAAAGAGCAGCAGGAGTAGCAGTGTTTTCAGTGGTAATCCATGTTTCCGTCAGCGCCAAGAAGTCGAGGGACTGGAGGGTAGCATAGGCTGAGATGAACTCTGCCTTGTTGGCAGCAGAACGGCAGTTCCAGGGGCTGCCTGAGACCTGGAACTCCACGTGGGTCGTGCGTGCAGGGACCACCAGGTTAGAGAGGCAGCAGCCACGCGGTGTGAAGCGTTTGTGTAGCCTGTGCGGAGAGGAGAGAACAGGGATAGGCAGAGGCATAGTTGACAGGCTGCAGCAGATGGCTACAATAATGCAGAGGAGATCGGAATGAAATGAACTAAACATCTGGGAAAGGAGAGAGCGGGGCCTCCCTCACCACAACTCCCAAATATAACTCTTCCAACTTCCACCTCAGAAACTATATTTTATCTTGCCTGATCAATCCCTTTGATGAACTTGTTTTGTACAACAAATTCAAGCTTTACAGATTTGGTAAGCAGATTTGGTAAGCAGAGCTCCCAAGCAGACAATCCTGTTAGTTGGAACCGGTGGCTCACGAAAACCTGAACTCACCAGTAACATGATCAACTGCATCCTGGGAGTTGAGTGGGAGGATGGGTTCCGTTTCAAGCAAACCCAACGAAACTGGACTTATGTTGTTGCATATGAAATCAATCACCAGGATGGATTTCCAATCCACTTCTCTCTCAACATTAATTACATAGGGGGAGAAGTAAATACAGTTTCTGAATGTGACGACACTATGACATATCTGAAACAGACCAAGGACAAGTGGAGCATCACTGGCGTTGATGTTGTGTGCTTTGTGACTAAAGCTTCTGTGTTGACCTTAGATCAAGTGCAAAAGCATATTTTATCTTGCCTGATCAATCCCTTTGATGATGTAGTCAAGAACAACATTGTGACCCTGGTGACATGTGTGGATGTAGAACAAGCCCCTATCCTCCAAGCCATCAACTCTTCCAGGAAAGACTTCCCGAAGACGACACATGGTCTTCCAGTTCACTTCAAGGTTCATTTTCAGCACTGTTCGCAAACAATGCAACAGCAACTGCTGTTGATGACAGTCGCCAATGTGCAATTTTCAATCTTTCAGCGTTGCTTCCAAACAATGCTGCGGCTGCCAGGAGCAGTCAAGATTATGTCCAGTCTCAGAAGATGTTCTGGGATGAAGACGTGAAGAACATGAAGAGGTTTTTAGAAGCCTTGTCGAAAATGGAGACATGTCAATTGAAAGAGAACAGCATGTGCATATTGTTATAGGCCTTCCCTGTGTCAGTTTTCATGCTATCAAACCAGTCAG